TTTTTTCAGAAGAAAGCTGCAAAGAAGAAGAATATAATAATTTAAATTAAAAAATTGCCTCTGGGGACAGTTAGGTTACAGGAAATTTCACCTAGTTTTTCTGCCATATATAGAAACACAAATTAATTAAAAAAAAATACGATGGGTCCTAACAGGAAGGGGGTATTTAAATATAATAAATTTATTTATACAAAACTTATCAAAAAAGGTCAAAAATAAAAATAAAATTAGCTGGGGACAGCAAATGTACATTTAACGAAAATTTACCCTACTGTGGCCGCATTTTATTGCCATACACGCTTTATTGTCATTATTATCTGCTTACACCGGTACTGTTAGTAGCTCATAAAGTCCGGCACAATATCGCACACATTCTTAAACAACACTTTAAAACCTAGCTCCTAATTTTCGCACCGAAAGTAAATTAACTTAAAGTTTTTCACAAACAAAAGGTTGTCAATCTTTATAATATTGTCTTTATTGGCCCCGTCGACACACCCCCCGGCCCAGTTCCTTTAATTTTAGTATTTTTCTTTTGTGTTTTCGGCGAAATTCCTTAAGGAAATCCTTATCGTTAACCATATAACTTGTCGCCCCGGAATAGATTAATTAAACGTCCTTACACAGTAAAAAATTTCTGGTAAAAAACAACACCAAAAGTGGTCTATATAGGTCCACACTAGAAATGGTATATCTAACCACATACAATTTGGTAAATTTTACCCTTTGGTTAAAAATCTACACGTACTATTCGTATACAAAAAACTCGTAACAGTGTAAAAATCATCAAATATAATACACTCTTAGGGGTAAAAGCAACACGCAATATTGGTAAAAGAACTCCATTCAAGAGTAGAAAATGCTCAATTTGGTGTAATTTACTACACATTTTGGTGTTACTTGTAGATGTTAAAAATGGTGGGTGTTTTAATATTAAACACAGCATGTAATGTAAAATAAAGTATATTTTATATTACTTACAAACTATTAGATATGAATACAAATAGGCTTTGGCATAAAATTAAAAAAAAAATGATTAACACTACTTAGGTGTATTCTTATACCCAAGAAGTGTTAATAATTTTTTTTATTTGAATGAAAAGTAGTACTTAATATTTTAAGTTTTTTCCAGTTTGTGCAAAACCATATTTAGCTTATATAGGTATATAAGTTAAATATGATTTATCACTAGCTCAAAAAACTTAAAATTTTACTAAATTTCATATTTCACTTATCACAGGTAAAAAAAACATGTTATATCACAAACATAAGTTGCATCCACTGTCACATTGCACCACTTTACCCGACCACTGAATTTTAATTTAAAAACCATGGTCTTAAAATAGCATGCATAGGTACACTACCATCAACTGCACTCGGAATACTGATCTCTCCCTTGCCGTTAGCGAATGGTGATGACTACGTGACTTTTTTTTACCACAATGTGTGTAGCTGTCAACAAATAATAGTGTCAAATGTACACTGCATCGAGTTTATCATTAAATTAACACTAGATTGACACGGTGCTGTGTAAAATAAATTTAAATTAACACGAATGAATTTTACCACAATTTAAAATAAACACTTAATATTTTTGACCAATTTTAGTGTATAAATTAACACCAAATGATTTTACCACTCCATTTGGTAACTTTACACCGAAATATTTTTTACTGTGTATGTTCTATTGTTTGCATGCCATAGCATGAAAGAAATCTGTGTTAAAAACAGGTCTCATTTTCGGAATAACCATCCGTAACTGTATTGCACTTCCAGGCCTGATATTTTCGACAAAACTTCTTGTAGTAACCAGGTTCTTTATAAAAGTAACACTGCTTCTTCTTTACTAAGTTCGCCGAATTTCCTGAATGCACGGGTTACCCTTTATGAAGCCCTCATTGCCCCGTGACAATCTTTATTTCTTATTCTTGATACACCTTTACGTCCATTAAAATCGTCTAGTAATTTTGCTTTTACCAGTTCCATTGCAGTAATAGCATAGCGAACAACTAATTACTTAGCATTTCACCCATGGCCCAGAATTTTTCCACCAACTCCATCATTAGGTTAATACAAAGTTCCATATTACCGCCTTCTTCTAGAGTTAATCTGCATATCCGCTTTAACAGGAAAACTTTTCTGGATAGCGATCCTTTCTGGTGGATGCCAAGCTTTGAAAACACTTTTTGCTTGTCTAATGTGGATTAGTTGTCTGTCTGCCGATTGCTGCTCAAGCTTCGTCTGGAACACCTGGCTTTGCCTCAGCGATCACGTCCCATATCCCCTCAATAATTAGCAAAAATTCGACCTTATACTTACGGTACCGAAAACGCGAACCGCTCGACGTCTTCAAACCTTGTTGTTCTCTCACTTTTATTTGTTAAAACTTAAAAGTCTGTATTGTCTTTAAACTCCGAACTCAATCATATGGATTAACTAGACTCATAACCTGTGGCATTTTATTTAATCAATTCAATAAGATTTTGCTTAATTAATTATGTCAATAAAACGCACAATTTTAATTTTAAAATCGAAAAAACTGAGTAGGTACAATTTGTTGATAAGTAACATTAACTATTATGGATGTAAACACAAAACATCTACAAAGTCAAGGGTGCGACCATAAAAATTTCACTACCTGGCCATGTGGTTTATTTTTTAATATATATTAATATATATAATATAATATATTAATATATTACTAAATTCTATATAATTTATTAAATAAACCGAAATATAAACTGCTGTTGCACAGCATTCCAAGAAATTTGTATGTAAATTCTAAACAAAGATTAATTTAAATTAGGCTATTGCGGGAGGTACAATTTGATTTGGTACGTCGCGACGTACTTTCCCTGCTAGGACGTCCAGCTTTTCTTTTAGAGAAAGGCTTTACTCCGTATGAGAGATTCAGATGCGCAATTTAAAATGCAAGGAGTCTAGAATATCTTTTTTTCTTGATCTGTGCAGCTACTGCATCTTTTTAATATTAAAGCCAGCTATTTAAGCAGGCCAAATCTACTGCCTGGAAGATCATCCTGTCCACTTTCTGAATTTTATAAATAAAGGTGCGGTAGTGATGTACAATTTGATTAGGATAATCTTCTATTCATTTATTAAATAAATTAATTATCTCTGGGAGGTTGATTTCAATGTATTCTTTTTTACTTTTATCCCATCGTCTAACAGACATCTTCTTGACGAACTCATACAAACTTTGAGGCCAAATTTACCACACGATTGTCTACTCATTTGCAAAGTACAATCGACATCGACAACTTCTTCGCTGAAATTCCTATCGCGTTTTAACGCATCAGGTAATAAAGGAGTCTTGTTGAACCTATACCAGCTGCGTGTATCTTCTTCTACTGTAGAATCTTAGGTACTTAGGTAGAAAAGTTATAATTAAAAGAAAGAGATAATGACGTAATATTAAAAAATTTAATATAATTTGTTCTAAATACTGTTTTAAACTATATATAGCCTATAGGTTTTATAACAAGTAATTAGCTATAATTATAAGCTATTTACTTTGGCTTCTGGAGCTTATTAGGAAGTACGGGGGGAACCAAAAAAGAGCACTTTTGTATATACTTGTTATAAAACCTACAGGCTCTATAAAGGGTGCAACAAGTATCCTTCTATGTATGAATCTTCTTTATTTAAATGTGCGGTGTGGAAAAAATATCTGCGGTTCTCAAATAATTTGAAAGAAAATTGAAAACCTGTCAAAACAAAAAACTGTGTACTGGTAATAATACATAATAAAAATTATGTTTTTCATATAAAAATACACATATATCCATATTTTCATACAATTTGAAATTTTTTTGCTTGGTAGATTTTGAGATACCATCACCATCTTTTGTTTTTTCCATGGTCGTCAAGAGTTTGAATGTGACTGACAATTGCAATGGCCATATTATAATATTCTCATATGGCGTATATTCGAATATTATAATATGGCCATTGCAATCAGTCACATTCGAACTCTTGACGAGGTGTTACTTATAGTAGCCGTACATTTTACAACCCATAATAAACTACTGATACAGTGGAAATAAACTATAATGCATTGTATCTACAGTGAATTAAAGGCTACCTTTCGGTCACAATAGGAAGCATTTTATGTGAAGACCAAACGAGGCTAACCAAGACTGGAAAGGGCCATCATCTGCAAAAATCTAGAAGTACCAAATGACCTAATACGTAAATTTGCAACATTAAACACGTTTAGATACCTATAGGTATACACAACCCTAATAGCAGTTCTTTACGCTTAAACACAACCCTAATAACCATAACTTTAATAATAAGACAAAGTAACAAAATAAATATAAGAAGGATTAAGTGTAGCGAGTTTGATTATGTAATTCAAAACATTTATATATTAATGCCTAGACAAGCTATAAGCTCATTGGAATGAATATATATGTAATAAATAAAAAATAAAATAAAACAATACAAAAAAATAAAATAAAACTAAGTAAGCCCTCCCAAATCTTATAGCTGGCATTATAGCTAAGCTAGAAATCAATTACCAAGTAAGTCAAAAAATCCATAAACTCAATAAAAGTGTGTAAACTAATCAATCAAGGAGTTCGGTCCTGACCTTTAACCTAAATGTCATATTGGAACTACTCATCTCATAATATTAAATTTAGTATATTCATACTGATTATTAAAACAAAACTTGCCTATAAAATCCACATTAGTGAAGTGTATCGTGAGTTAAGACAATTACAATAACACATCGGGAAAAAACAATAAACAATTAAAACATAAACAATAACGTGCTTAAGCCGATTGGACTTTGACCCCAGGTGAATTTCACCTGCATGGAGAAGGACCGGCTTAGGAAATTTTTAAGATTATGATAACAAATTATTCAAAATGAACGATTCAAGTGCTGGCGGCTCCGGAAATAGCCAAACACAGCAACAACCATCATACTCAAATGCAGTTACCACAAACACCCAGAACTAAATCAAGCAATTGTAATGTCAGCAATAGAAGGAATTAAATATCATGAATATATCATTGCAGTAGGAGCCTTGGTTTCACCAAGAAACATTACCTACGCATCACGTATAGCTAACAACCGGATCTGTTTGTATCTTTCAAATACAAAAATCGTGGATACACTTGTAAACATTCATAAATTTATTAAAATTAACGACAATAAAATTGAAATCAGAAGGCTAATTAGCCCCGCATTAAGATTAATCATCTCAAATATATGTCCAGTTATACCACACTCCATTATTGAAAATGAACTCCTAAAACTGGGACTAAAAGCGGTATCTAAAATAACACCACTGCGTGTTGGAATGTCTGAAGAATATAGCCATATACTTAGCTTTAGAAGACAAGTTTACATAGAACCATCGAAAAATATGTCTATCTCTGACTCAATTCTTGTCACTTATGACAATACATCTTACAGAATTTTCCTATCAATCGAGAATTTGCATTGTGCAAAATGCAGTAAAATAGGACACAATGAGAATAGCTGTCTAACTACAAACACCGAATCGTCTACTAAAAATGATAATACACCTTTTGAAAATACACATATCGAAAACAGCCTGTCAACAGAAAACAACCCAGAATCTAACGAATCCTTCAACAACGAACAACCAACGCTATCAAAAAATCAACTTAAAGTATCAAGCAATCCAACAGTCAATAATGAAGATCAAGCACAACCAACAGCAAAAAGGCAAATATCCCTATCGCCAGACATAATTGCTTCCCAAAACCAAGAAACTATTTTTTCCATACCTACAGGATCATTAACCAAAAAACGAAAAACTAAATCGACTCCACTTGATATACCTACAATACTTTTGCCAATAAAGGATCAGATAGAATCCCATACACCGCCTTTTACCCTCAACTATACTTCAATCTGTGATTTTCTTGAAAATTCCTTCAGTTCCCAATTTCCTTTAAAAACAGCCAACGAATACGTAGAAGATATTAGGTCCCTGGAACATATACTTAATTTTATATATAATAAGATCAATAACAAAACAGCAAAAAACAGAATCACAAGACTCAAGAAAAAACTCTCTATTGGAGAATTATCCATAACTGAAGATGAGAGTGACAGTTCATCGTCTCAAGCAGAACAAACTCCAAGCTCTCACAAAAATGTTCAACAATAATAAAAAATTCATCTTACAGTGGAACTTGAATGGCTACTGCACTCACATTGAATGGATTAATTTACTAATACAAGAACAATCTCCACTAGTAATCTGCTTACAAGAAACCCGATTTAAAACAGACAAAACAATAACACCCCGTGGATATACAGGGTATTTTAAAAATCGAAACAATCAACACACAGCCAGTGGTGGTGTTGCCATTTATGCTAAAAATAATATTCAAGCTAAAGAAATAGATATTGCAACCAATCTGGAAGCAGTAGCCATTCAAGTCCTACACCATAAACCCATCCACATACAGTGCTTGCAAATCCAATTCCGACCGGTTTGGGAAGGACGCTTGAAAATAACAAGGATAGAACGCCAAACAGAAGGCGCTTACAATACGCACGCCTGACGCTCTGACCAATCAAATTCTGTTTGGCATTCTATCCTTATTCTTTTCACGCGGGTATTGAACAACCATCCTTCCCAACGCGGTCGGACTTGGATTTGCAAGCACTGTATGTAATATATACATTCCACACTCAGAAAATATTAATTTCAAAGAAATAAATGACGTTATTGAACAAATACCAACTCCAAAAATAATTGTAGGAGATATGAACTGCCATAATGCAATTTGGGGATCCAATAAAACAGATCAAGCTGGAAAAAAACTGGAAAAAATAATAAACCACTTAGATCTAGCACTATTAAACTCAGGTGAGCATACTCGTTTCAATGCCTATAATGGCACCTTTTCCTGCATAGATCTAGCCTTTTCCGACCCGGTACTATACCCTTCACTTGAATGGAACTCACTTAAATACCTTTATAATAGTGACCATTTCCCAATCACAATAACATTAGCAGAAGACCAATTTTCCAATACGACACCACATTTTCAAACATGGAGATTAAAATCAGCTAATTGGGAAAATTTTCAACAACTCATAACAGAAAACCTAACAAATTATACAGTATCAAATAACATCAATGACACAATTTCTACATTTAATGACATAATCATTAAATCTGCATACCATGCTATAGGAAAGACTACAACAAAAAAGAAACGCCTAGTACCATGGTGGAATAAAGAAATTGAAAAGGCAGTAAAAGAAAGCAAACATGCATTCAATCAACTTAAGAGACATAAGACTGAAGAAAACCTTATAAAATTTAAAAAAATAGAGCAAAAACGAGATACCTAATTAAACAAAATAAAAAACTAACTTGGGCAAACTATATATCATCTATTAATTCATCTACACCTGTTAATACCATCTGGAACAAAATTAAGAAAATACAAGGTAATTATTCATTTAACGAAATAGATACTCTTATGTACAATGACAAAATTACTTCCTCAAACAGTGAAATACCAGAATTTTTGGCCGACGTGTATGAACAGAACTCGAGCGATAGTAACTATGATCCACCGTTCCTTGCGCATAAAATATATACGGAATCCTCACCTCATGTTATCATAGATCAAGAATCACCACTGAATACTCCTATAACCCTAGATGAACTTGAAGAATGCCTGGGCCAATCAAAAAATACTACACCGGGTCCAGACGATATACCTATTATTTTTCTCCAAAAATTACCTTTTACTGGAAAAATAATTTTACTAGACATATTTAATACAGTTTTTCTTCAAAGAGTTCTACCTAAAGTATGGTCTGAAGCATTTATTATCCCCATTATAAAACCAAACAAACCAAAAACTGACCCTTTATCATACCGTCCCATCTCATTAACCTGCAACATGTGTAAGCTTATAGAGAAAATCTTAAACAAGAGATTGGTATGGTTTCTAGAAAATAAAAAATTATTATCCTCACTCCAAAGTGGTTTTCGAAAAAACCGAAGTACAACTGATAATATAGTAGCTTTAGAATCTGACATTCATGAGGCCTTCGCAAGCAACCAACAAGTACTAGCCCTTTTCTTGGATATTAATAAGGCATTCGACACAACGTGGCGATATTACATAATACAAAAACTTATTGACTACGGTATTCAAGGAAACATTCTTGGTTTTATTAAAAACTTTTTAAGCAATCGAATTATCAGAGTAAAAGCTAATGGAAATCTTTCATCACCTAGACATATTCAAAATGGTACACCCCAAGGATCAGTCATGAGCACAACTCTATTCTTGGTAGCTATAAATAGCATTACAGAAAGAATTAAATTACCGCTTAAAGCTAATTTATATGCAGACGATATAGTAGTGTATATGAAAAGTAAAAACATAAGCCTAGCCCAACAACTTCTACAAAACTTTCTTAATGAACTAAAAAACTGGACCAGAGAAACAGGATTTAGATTCAGCGCAGAAAAATCTCGTTTTATAGTATTTAGAAAAAAGAAAAAAGAATATAACATAACTTTAAATATTAACAATCAAACTATACAACAGACAGACAACATACATTTTTTAGGATTAAATTTTGACACAGCACTCAACTGGAAAACTCAATTAAACAACCTTTTACTATCCTGCCAAAAGAGACTGAACTTACTAAAAATTCTTTCACACCATACCTGGGGGTCAGACACCACAAATTTGATACGTATATACAGAACTACTATCAGAAGTAAGATTGATTATGGATCAATTTGTTACCAAACAGCAAGTAAAACAGCTTTAAAGAAAATAGAAATTATCCAGAACACCGCCTTGCGAATCGCACTGGGAGCCTTTAGAACAAGCCCAGTTGAGAGCCTATATGTTCTAGCTCACGAACTGCCACCGGAAATTCGACGACAAATGAACACACTAAAATATGCGTCTAGATTATCCATAAACCCAACAAACATCGCATACCAGGCTGCCTTCCCAAATACCTATTACGACCTATTTAACAATATATCCTCGAGTAAAGTTCCCTTCTATGAAAGACTACGCCGTACAAACTTTAATATAAATCAATTTAAACTTTCCTTAAAACCAGCTTTAAATTACCCCCCATGGACTATCCCAATACCATTAATAAATACAGCCCTTACAAAATATCCCAAGCACTCAACACATCCAACAATTATTCACAACACCTATCGCTCCCTAATTACAAAATTCCCAAATACCAAACTAATCTTTACAGATGCTGCCAAAACTAAAACTGGACAAGCCACTGCTGTTGTTGGAGATGGAAATTAAAAAATCCACCAAAATCCCCCAATACTGCAGTATATTTACCGGAGAAATGATCGCAATCCTAGAAGCCATAAAGATATGCTCCCACTCAGAAGGTAAATTCTTGATTATAAGCGATTCATTAAGCACCTTACTGGGAATCAAGCAAGTGTACCCACAACATCCAATCCTTCAAACCATAAAGGAAGAAATGCAAAAGAATCAGTACAATAAAATAAAATTTCTCTGGGTTCCCTCACATGTTGGCATCGAAGGTAACGAAGAAGCTGATCGTTTGGCAGCAGCAACAGCAAAAGAAAACGAAACACCTTCAATTAAAAAAATTCCACACAAAGACCACATCACCCTAATCAAAAATTTTGTAAATGGAAAATGGCAAGAACTTTGGGCAACAAATAACAGCAAGCTAAAAGCAGTTAAAACACAAATCGGACAAGAATTATCAACTCCTCCAGGTCGAAAAAACCAAATAGTAGCAAATCGCCTTAGAATCGGTCATACTGCAATCACGCATAGCTTCATCTTCAAAAACGAACCCATCAGCCTTTGCGAAGAATGTAACACTGCCCTAAGCGTATCCCATATAATTCTAGAATGTCCGAAATATAATAGAAAAAGATCACTGCACCACATCCCGGATAGTTTGGAGACGGCTTTAGGCACGCAAATTGAAAAAACCCTGGACTTCCTAAGATCGATAAATATTTTTAACAAAATCTAATATATCTATGTTTGTATATGTATACTGCTAATAACCCTTGGAGGTTGATGCAGTCCCAATTTGTAAACATTATTATTAATCAATCAAGGCAATGCGGTCAGTTATACGCATACTCATCCTCAATATGGCCATTGTAATGGACAAGAACATTGAGGTTAAATGTAAAGTTTAGTTAAAGTGTCCATTGCAATGGACTTACGTCGCATGCAATGATGCTTGCCCTACGTAACCTGCCGGAATAATGTAGAATTTATGGTCGACCCGACGTCGGAAAATCAATGGAAAGCATCGGTACATTTTATCACAATAATGAAAAATCGTATCTCTGTAGATGCAACGCTCCAACTGAAGACCTGTAGCCTATCTATATTCATATGAATATAGATAGGCTACAGGTCTTCAGTTGGAGCGTTGCATCTACAGAGATACGATTTTTCATTATTGTGATAAAATGTACCGATGCTTTCCATTGATTTTCCGACGTCGGGTCGACCATAAATTCTACATTATTCCGGCAGGTTACGTAGGGCAAGCATCATTGCATGCGACGTAAGTCCATTGCAATGGACACTTTAACTAAACTTTACATTTAACCTCAATGTTCTTGTCCATTACAATGGCCATATTGAGGATGAGTATGCGTATAACTGACCGCATTGCCTATATAGTAAACGAGCGTGCGTAAGCAGCGGTGAGATGTATCGCTGTAATATTTGTTTCATAATTAATTACATTTTTAAAATTTTTGTAGCAATTTTGTTTAATATTGGCAATTTTACTTATTTCCTATTAAGTGAATAATTTTAATAATATTTAAATTAATTAATATTTTATTGTTGTTAGCTTTCCATAACCATTGTTTGACATTTAAATATTTAGGGTGTTTTAAATTAAATTATTTTATTAAATTTTTTAAAATTTAATTGAATATTTAAATAATATTTATTATTTCAAACATTTTTCATCTGGGAAATAAACACAAAACGTTGGGACGTCCTGATCATCATTTTTAGATATTTAACCGACAATCGGTGCAATTCCGGAAAATGACTGATAGTCAATACATCGG